CTCAGTACAATGGCATTTCACAGTGATGTGTACTAGCGCTGTTAATCAGATGAAGGTAGCTGTGCTACTGTGATGAAACACTCGCTTTTAGACTGCTCTGAGCAATACTCACACAATCCTAAAGAATAACAGAAAACCAAACCAAAAAACCAGGCAAGATAAACCTCTGCTGACAAGTTACTCAGGAACTGGAAGCCTGGCATCAGCTGAAACCCCGGGGGATTACAGGATGCCCCAGGCAGAGCCAGTCCCGTGTTCCTTCCTGAAACCGCATGGGCTGAGCAAGTGCAGGGAGATGGGCATCGAGCTGCGATGCACGGGCTGACGTTTGGGAGGCTCATGGGCTGCAGGACAGGGAAAGATGCCTGCATGGGTGGGACAAGCCCACACCTCACCAGCTGGGGATGGCTCCTTTCCACCCAGCTCCCCCGAGCAGCTGGGGAAGCATCGGAGCCAAGCGTGACACACGCAGTGCCTGGCTGGAGCGCTGCTCTGAGCTACAGGAGAATATGGAGACAGCAAGGAGGGTGAGGAGGTGCTCTGGGCACCCTTGTCCTGTGGATGGGGGTTGAGCCGTATGAAATCGCCCAGGCTCACAAGTCCAATTTTGCTCCTCTCAGCTGCCCCCTTGGCACTTTTGTAGGCAAGGTGCTCTGGTGCCCCAGTACACAAGGTGCAGGTGCTGCATTACCAGCAGCTTTAAAAAAAAGGTGAATATTTAAATATTGCAGTCATTTGCATTATTAATAGCTAAGGATAAGTTTCATTATAAAAAAAAAATTGTCCTCCTTTTCTTATACTACTTTGGAGCCATTCACAGCAGTGTTGCAGCCTTTAATTCTTTGGAGAATTGCATATGTAGCATTTAAACTTGTTTATAAAAGTTTGCCCTTGCAGGTATATGCAGAAGTGGCACTATGAGCAAGATCACTGCTGATGTCCTTGCTTTTGAAAACCAATCCCACAAACACACTTTTTCCAAAAAGTATTTATCCAATATCAGTATTTTGCAAACCCTGTTGCGAGGTATGTGATACCTGCATGTCGATGAGTTAGAGCTCTCTACTTCAACCCAGTATTCAACCTGTGTGTAATGCTCCACCTTCCAATTAAATGGTGAGCAGATCCGAAGCAGATATGGTAACTACTTCTGAGGAGTAACATTATTCATCAAATTGGCAAGTCTGTAATCACAGCAGGAGCCTAATTGCTCTCAGTGCCTAGAGCCCAAGTGAAGCCTATACAGGTTGTACAGCTTTGGGAAGTGAAAAAAAAAATAACAATTTTAAAATAAGCTGTAAAAACATTTTATTTTATTGTCTTCTGTTAGTTGCGAGCTTGGTGTGGTTTTGTGGAAACGTAACCAGGTTCCCTAATGAAAATGTTGACTAGGAGTATGGCAATCGTATTGTTTACTCCTCTGCGTTCTTACAAGAACAGTTGCCAAAAATAAGGTTTCCTACTTGCGATCAAGGAAGTAAGTGATCCACTGCTTCACCTCCACAAGACCAGGAAATAACTGCAGACCTTTATGACCAGCTACTGCACACAAAGCCCCAGCTAATTACAAACAGAACAACTTAATGCAGAGACTCAATGTAGATCAGATTTAGTGACTTTCTCTATCACATCCAGCATGTTTCTTAGCTCTTCAAAAGTTTGAAACACAAATTGCTGTGATGATGCAAAGCAGTGAACACTCTTGGGGTGTTTCAGGGCAGAAATGATCCTCCTGTCACTGCAGGTAGATCACAGCCATGACAAGATTTACCTGTGGAAGTCATATCTGGAAATTGAACAGTCTTTGGGGAAACAGCATAACCCAACTCCACGATTTTTGAGAGAAGGGTAGCAAAGTGCTTACTCTTAAGATTGCCAATTTTAAGAACGATCCATACATAGGCATGACAGCTCCACTGTTGTCTCATTTCCTCCATTGGCTTCTAACTGGACAGGACAGTATCAGAAATGTCATACCTAGGCACTGTAGAAATGCCTGAAAGTGGAACTTGCCAAGCTAATCGCATTAAATTCACTTTTTCCACCCACAACTACTTCTCCCAGATCTGCCCGCGTGATCCGTCCTGCCGTTCCACACTCTGAACGTCCTTTTTCTCCTTGGTCAGTGACACCTGGTACACAGCAAAACCGCAGAGTGACCCTTCCACGAGGGAAACAAAAAAAAATAAAAATCCCCTCAATGCAGCAGTGTGCCGGCTCGGTGCCCCGTGCCTGGGCGGGCATCGCTGGACCAGCCCCGCTTGGTTTCAAACCCCCACAGCCCCTCACCTCCCGCCTCCCCGCTCCCAGCAGAAGCAGCAAAAACATCTGGGAACATCTGCGCCTCGCCACTCGCGCCCGCAGGCCCAGGGGCTCCGGGCATGCCACCTAGTCCCCCCAGCGGT